GCACCCTTTACATTCCTGAGAGGTCTCACATCTCACTCCTGAGAGGTATGCACAGTGGGGCAATACGGCACTCTTATCTCTAGGTATCCTCTCCATGAAGCCAATATAATGTCCTAATCCAATGTCAGGGGAGGTTTTGATATGATCCCAAGAGCAAGATTAAGACACAAACGAGGTCAAATGCCACACACCCAAACCAGTCTTTATTATTAAAAGTGAAGACTGGTAGTGACAGGACAGAATGGACGGAAAAGACAGAAATCAAGCAAGCATAGAGCCACAAGAATAGTCACCACCATGGACCCAGCAGCGTCCTGTTAGTCCTCAGTCTTCACTTCTTCAGTGGTGGGTGCACACGCAGCAAAGTTTTCTGTTGCCTTTTCAGTTCATCTTATCAGCTGATTAGCATACCTGCCCACCTTTAGTTTTTCCTCTGTTCCCACAGGTTTTTGCTGACTTCATGCTTCATCCGGCTTCTGGGGCAGAAATGCTCCCCTCTTACCAGTTCAATGGCAAAGGCGTGAAGTCATTAGCAATACGTGCATGGTATCTGTCGTACACCATAGAGCCAGCGATAAATATGTGTCTTCACTCAGTCCATGTCTTCCCCTTTGAGGCTTATCTAAGGAGTCTTTGACAATGCAACTGCAAGGGAGTTGGGGGTGCATCCTTTGATACACTCCCGCTTCCTTGGGTGACATCCTTAGATTAATCCAAAGTCCACAGCTTGTCCTTGAGGTTTGCATACACACACAAGCAAGCTTTGAGACAATCATTCGACATTTCAGTTTCTCACACACATCTACTCACTGGAAGGAGGTTTATGGCGCTCTTTTCAAGAGGGAATTTACCTCCTGCAGATGTAAGTCTTGCATCTTGACAGTCTGCTGCCTCTATCATCACACCCTGATGCCCGTGCACTGTCCCTGGGGGCCTTTTGTAGCTTAAAGGTATCTGTTCATTTTCTGCACATTTCTGGCTTTAATGTCTATCACTGAAATTGGTCTCAGGTGGACCAAACATTAGCTCGTGGATTTGACATTCTATGCTAGAAAAAGGTTTTAGAAGCTATTTGTTCCTTGTTTAAGCTGCTTGCTTTTCTAGAAATTGAAAAATGACCCACAGATTTACAAGTCCCATCTAAGTTCTGGGGACATTTCAGGATTCAGGTTTTACCTGTTTCTTTGTGTGTTTGCTTTCTTTTCTACATCTGAAGACTTTTTCCTGTATTCTAAACTGGTTTATCAGGTTCAAATTGATCATATACCCCAGTAGCAATACCAGTTGTTAGAACTGGGTCTCACAATAGCAAGCAGAAATAGAGGCTCTAGAAAGCTCTGTCTACAGAAGCAGCTTCTTCAGAGTTTAAACCATTCTTAAAAGCTGTGTGATTTTCCATTTCCTAATATGTTTGCATTCCCAGAGCAGCAACTAACAACTACTGGTAGTACAACTAATGGTTGTGATATATACAACCAACCATTTCTGTGAAGTTTTTTCAATAATGCATTTAATTAGCTGGGGGTTTGGAGAGTTGATTTCTTTTTCTTATTTTCCTTTGCTTTTCATCTTCTGGCTGCAGTATGTTGTTGATTTCTTTTTTTTCACAGCAGAAATCTTTGATACCAACTAGTATATTGTGCAGCTAATGGGCTACACTGCAGGCTTACTATTAGGCAGCACAGTACCTTCTCTTCAGACCTTCCTCTCCTGCAAGGGGGCAACTGCTGAGAATAACCTTCCTGCCTATTGTGCACACATCTGTTAAGCTGATGCTTAGAACAATTGTAGGCTCTTTCTCTCCATCTCACGAGTGTCTGGAATCAAATTGTTCAGTTCTTCATGACAATAAATCCTCCAACCCTACCTAGCCTCTAATGCTTTTCAATTCTGGCTGTAGACAAGTAATAATTTATTCATATGTCAGAAAATAATTTGAAAAATGCCAAGAAGAAAAGAAAAATGGAGTAGAAAAGAATTACTTTCTGAGACTTTAAGATAGGTTTGGGGGATTTTTTTTTTTTCTTTTCAGTGTCCTGAACATGAAAGAAGTAAGAATTGGAAAGGAAAAGTATGAAAACACTTGTGAATACTTGAGAAGAGCAGGAAATCCTGTCAAGCACTTTTAATTATGATTATCTTATCATTTGGATAATAAGATTGAGAACAGTATACTCAGCATTGCAGAGTAGGACATTTCTTCTAGAAGAACATTTAAAATCAAGCTTGAAAGACTTGTCAGAGCTCAGCTCTTTCTCTGGCCTGAAAAATGCTTTAACTTTTTATAAGTATTTTTTTTCTCTTTTTTTTTTTTTTAATAAAGAATGACAAATTCAAAATCTTTAGAAAGTAATTAGTGTTTAGGATCTCTACCCAGTTGCAATTTGTGATTTCAGGATCTGAAATGTAGGAATCTTTAAATCACGAGACAAATTATGCTGTCTGTAGAAAAAAAATAAATAAATCAGGAATAAATTGTTGCAGGTTATCCCAGAGCTGTCAAAAAAAAAAAAAATGTTACAAGGTGGGGCCCAACCATCTTACATCTCGACTGAATCTGTAGGAAAGAAAACTGAAATAATACATAAAGAAACTTGCTACATTGTCCCTCAGTTTCTGAAAAGATTCTGTCTTCTTGCAAGGGGAAAAGGACTGTGTACACAGAGGATCTTTTCTCACCTTTCCTGCAGCTTTACTGAAAACACATTTAGATGAACAGTCTTGAAACTTTGTATAATCCTGTGATGACAGAATGCAGTGGAGCCATAGATTTTCCTCATTAAACCAGGTTGTGAATCAGGATTCTTGAAGCAATAATGTTGTTATTTTTTGTTCTTGATCAAGCTTAAATAATTTTAATAATGTGTCATGAACTTGCAGACTCTTTACATGACACTACTCTGTGGAAAACTGCCTTTCCCTAATCCTATTTTTAGCTACACTCCTTTAAAGATGATGACAATAGTAACTGTGCTGAATATTTGAGATTTGAGAGGAAGGGAGGAGCTATATAGAGATAGTATTTTCCTACAGTGAGTAAAATAGTCTCCTTCGTTTTACCAGTAGGAGAGGTTGGCCCAAAACCTTTCTAATGCAGTTGTGACTTTAATTGTCCAGAACACTATATTGAATTCTACATTATTAAAACACAAGCAAGCTAAACTTTGTCTATAATGTATATTAATTATCTTACTGTGACAATCAAAATTGCACTTGAACGATGTCTGTGTTACATATCCAGGACACTTACATAGATGTAAAATGCTTACTGTAAATTTCCATATGGTGGAGAGTGATTTAACTCTTGTCATACTTCAGAATGAAATCTCACAAGAGTATCAACTGCTCTGTGCTGTAAATTAAAAGAAAAAAAAGGTGTGAAATTTTGCAGCCACAACATCAGCTTGAATTTGGTAAATTCAGAAACTGTAGTTTTAGAATCTTCTGATATTTCTACTTAAAGATTTTGTGACTTTTTTGTGTTCTAACAGTCATAGCCTCCTGCTGTTTTAAATTACTTTTTCTCCTGTTCTATGAACTACCAAAGCATGTAAAAGACAAGTTGAGTGACTATAGAGTAACCTGTGAAACTAACTATATATGCAGCATTTTTTTAAGTAGATAAAATAAGGAGAATACTTAACTTCTTCAAATGGTCTATGCAAATTATGAATGATAAAATTATCCTTTGAAATTGCTGAAAATAAAAATAGCTTTAAAAAAACCCAAAAATTTTAGACTATTACCATCCTTTTTCTTGAACTTGAGTTCTAAGTAAGTTACATCATAGCTGTGATGTTATTTGCATAGTGACTTGGATTTGACTTCCCTAATAATATCACAGAATGGGTTGGGTTGGAAGAGACCCTCAAAGATCTTCTAGTCCAGCCCCCCTGCCATGATAATATAGTAGTAATATATTACTACATTTTTCACTAAGTACTTCACTTTCAGAGTGAAAATTTTATTTTCAGAGGGAGTCGGAGTACCAAAAGATGGGTGCCCGACTACCCAAATCTGTGAATGTATGGTTTTGTAATGATTTATAATGAGTGTTGGTTTCTTCACTAGAGGAACATTTAAGCTAATACATTATCCATTTGTCCTCCAATTAGCTGATATAAGGCATTCCTCTAAATAAGCCACTAATTGTTTACCGCAGTTTGGCATTTTATTAATGGATTCAATATGGATCTTAAGTTTATAGTACCTGATAGTATTTTACATTTATTTATTCTTCTGGTCTCAGTGATTTTAAAGCAGTGGTTTAAAATTGAGATGGCATCATGGGTAAAACATGCAGTCTAGAAACATACAGGACCAGGCATACACAAAGTGATATGGTTGTTCTCAACATTTTACATTTCTGTAACATTTCCTAAGGGCTGGTACCCACCTTTAGCACAACACTATAGGAAGCCCTGTGTGTTTGTCTACAAAAGCACACAGGTTGTTGGGGAAAGCACTGCAGAGGATATGGTTGCCGTGGCATGCCAGAGTTCTTTACTGCTTTCCACACTGTTTTGCTATGTGATACACTGCAGCAAAAAACTATAACTTCTGTCTCTCTTCAGGAAGTACAATTTAGGAGCTGGGGTAATTTGATGGATAGTGTATACTAAGAAAAATATTAGAAATCAGAAAAGGCCACATAGTCCATTGAGGCTCATTTCATTCCAAATATACCTTCCCTAGGTTATCATCCAGTTGTTAAGAGAAAGAGTAATGTTACCCATTTTTTATAATTCCACTTCTGGGTATTACAGAGATAAATACCTAAATGCTAGAGAACTAACTTTCTTTCAGAGCACTATTTCAGGGGAAAAATACTTAAATGCAGGTAGGTTGGATGACAGAAAAGAAATTGACCCTAAATGAAAAATATAATGATAGTGATATGAATATATGTGTATAGTCACAGTTTCTCAAAGTTCTCCAATGGCAAGCTTTCAATCATGAGACTTCCCGATAGTAACCTTTCCTTTGATTTATTGTTTCAGGACCAATGCAGGAGACAATATATGACTTTTGGAGAATGGTATGGCATGAAAACACAGCCAGCATAATCATGGTTACTAATCTCGTAGAAGTGGGAAGGGTAAGTGATTTTTGTATATAAAAAGATGAAAGAATTCTAAGGTGTTTGCTTTTGGAAATTAAATAGCAGACCGATGAGATGCTTATATACAGGTTATAGCACATAAAATATTTATGACTGCCTGTGCTAAGAGGTTCATTATCAATTATTTTTAAACATGCCTTGGATGCTTGGCTTTGATAACATTAGCACAACGAAAAGGTAACTGATAAAGCTGCATTCTGTACAGCACAGCCTGCATAGACTGCCAAAGAGGAAAAGCATCATATCTTTGTATATATCTCAGTCATACCATTTCTATTAAGGGAAACCAGGGAATTGGTTACAGAACAAGATATGGAGTCATCTTTTTTTTAAGGGGGGCTGAGAGGAGTAATTCTGAAACAGATTTCTGAGAAAAGTAGTTAAACTATGAAATCACATATTCTTCATAGTATATTAGTCTAAATACCTGGTTTGTTTGGGATTTCTTTCCTTTAAGTCTTCTGGACTAAAACAGAAGAATTAGCTTTACTCATTTGTACACTAAATTTGTTGACCAGGAGGTCTTCTTCAGGAGCTGAGTAGTAAAGGAAAGCTTGAGTTACCTGGTTGATACTGTGTACTTTTCTTTCTTTGCTTAATAACTTCTAAAGTAGTTCTCCTACTAAAGTCATTATGGCTAATTTTGTTTTCAATGAGTATTTAATGGAACTATTTTCTTTGTTTCTCACAACCATCAATAATTGAGTCTTTTAATTTACTGCTTTGTCTATGCACTCGTGTCTTAGTTGTCATCTGGGATGTTTTTTTCAAGAAAATTTGCTTGGGAACTGGGCATAGAGCTTTCATTTGGAATGAAAAATAAAACAAACAAACAAAAAAAAGCCACCTCTGCTTTTATTGCAACTACTGCAATTATTGTAAATAGAAGTGTTGAAATAAGAAGCCAGGTGCACATATCTTGGTGTGAGCCTCATGGTTTTGAGAGATATTTTTAATTTCATGCTGGTAGAGTGACTGATACCCTTCTGCCCTGTGGCATTTGCCTGAGGAGAGAAAGCACTGTTTAAGTGGTGTGAGTCAAGGTGTCGAATCTTGTCTCCTTTTTAGCAAGTCCAGTTTTACACTCTCAATTTATTCTTCCTTATGTCCTTTGTCAATTGTTAATATAAACCCTAACATTTAGCTATCTGCGTGCCCAAGCCTGCCAACAGATCAGGCGACAGTATTATTTTTAGATGTAAAAAAGATGGGATTAGTGACTGCAATTAACACCTGCTGCAGGAACACATGTACGACTAATTGCAGAGACAAAAAAGGATCATGGAGGCTACTTTAAAAATTCAGTCCCTTGAGTGAGGAAGAAGGTAGAAATAGTTGAATAGTCACATATCAATTCAAAACGAATGGATTTGTAAGAATAGGCAGCTTTCCAGCAAACCTCTTCGTTAAAGCTTTATACACATTCATAAGTACCCAAGCACACAACTTGAAAAGGAATGTTTTCAGGGTAAGGATAAACAAGCCTTAGAACAAAAATAGCATGCTGCAGGAAACCACATACTGTTTTCCTAAAGTCAGTATTTGAAAGTGTCAATTAGAGTGAACTGTCAGGTATCAGCCAGGGAGATGCCAGTCTTGGTGCCAGCCTTGGCAGCCTCAACTTGCAACGTTTAGGTATGCAGCAGATTCCCTTAGCAGCAAGCAACAGTTTGTGCCACCATGGAGATTTCTTCAGGGTGCAAGAGGCCTTGTGGGATACTGATCTGCGGCTTTGTTGTTTCTGGCAGTGGTAGAAATTACTTTGTTCTCATGTTCTCTGGAGGCCAACATAGGTGAGATCAGAGAGCAGAAATTGAAATGAGCTTTTAGTTGAAATGAGATCGTATGAGCCACAGAACAATGCAGTGACTCCTCCATTGGTGCTTCTGTCCTGCTCCCAAAGCTGGAACTATCAGCAGCAAGGAGGCATATTACAAACACACCATCTGTCCCACAACCCCTAACACAAGCTCTGTGCTACCTTGATTAGTAATGATTTTAATGGACCTTTTGTATCATTCCTGCAGGGCAAACCCTGTAACCTTCCCAAGCTTGAAGTTTTCTATTACAGTTGCTATTGCTGGTATAAGATTTATAGGGCTTTATTTTTTATTTATTTTTTAACCCTCTTGACCCATTCTAAGCTGAGGAGGAAAATTCTTTTGTATTTTCAGGAAAGAGGAATATCTATTTAGCATGTTTGCCACACAGCCTACATCCTTCATGAATTAATCATTGAGGGGGCGTATGTGTACTTGTTTACCAGGACTGGCTGTGGATAGTCATTAAATCAATGCTAGGAACTTGCTTCTTGCCCTGGAGCATTATGCATCAGGACTGTTTTAATTGTGGATGGAGGAATCACCATGAGGCTGTCCCTAATGCAAGCACCTGCTGCAAATGACTCAGTCCCCACATTACCCTCCAGCAGGGTCTGGGTACATCTGCCAATATCTGTCATTATCTGAGGCACACTTGTCAAAACCATGCATCCCTTTAAGCTCTTGTGTGTTCCAGCAAGGGACCCTTGTCAGTGTTTCTGGCACCTGCAGACTGCTGTGCACCTGGTATTTAAATGGCACAGAAATGTGTTTTGATTGTTTTCTCTCTTTAATGAACCCACCTGAGGGACATTTAGCTCTTTATCTAGTAGCCTGTTACCCAGTCACTCACATTTACACTGCTTGTGCGGAAAGTCAGAACTCACTTGTGCTGTTATACTAATCCATCTGCCAGAAGTCTTATCACAAAATCTGCATGGCTCCCTAAGGAGACTTTTGTACTGGTAATTTAAGCTAATGATTTCTAAACATATTTAGTCAGTTTTATGAAGACCTCATTAGAATGTGACTGTTTATTAAAAATCTAAATGAGGTCTCACAGTCATTTGGAAAAATCATTGCTGAGTTGCGTGAACAGTTCTTTGATAACTGATGATGAAGTGGTTTTTAGTTAAGATTGGCCTAGGTTGACTTAAGAACTTTTACAAAAACACTAAACAAATAAGCAGCCCTTGAAGCAGCCTTGTAAAAAAGTCTCTGTCTTCTTCATGATGGGTTCAACAACTTTCCACTCATAATGAAGTTCACAAAAAGGGAATAACAAGTATTTAATGGTATAATATACCTACATTTTAGTTCAAGAATCAGAATTTTCCAAACCACACACTAACATGTAAAAAAGCAAAACCAAGACTCATAAAAATATATCAGTGTGACCACAAGCTATTTCAAAATAATGTATTCCATGCTGATGTTTGTAAGTGGTAGAGCAACTGCAGATAGGAGTGTAGATTCAGACATCTTTTCCTGAGAGACTTAGCATTAAGACCTGAGAGACTGGTGGATTACTCTAAACAAAACTTTTTATCCCACCAGTGTAGGGGCAGTCAGAAACTATACACAAGAGAACATCTCGCTTACTCCAGGAGACTGCTCTGGAGTACAGGCTCCAAAAGGCAGAGCTGGGTCCTTCTGCGGAAAGCAACAGGAACTGGATCAGGGTCTTTATGTAGTAGAACCTGTAGTCTCAGGTTGCTTCTTGAAGTATTTCAGTATTTGCACACATTGAAACATTTCTTTCCTCCTTAAAGAGTTATGTTGGGAAGATTTAGAAAATATTCGATTGTGTGCCATCTAGCTGCCACCTCCATCTTTGCTCTTGTTGGACTGGTTGGCTGAATCAAACTTGCTATGTCACATCATTTGTCATTTGTCAGTAGTCACTTTCTCTCCCACTCCTTCTTCTCACTTGAGGCGGAAGAAATTTAGTAATATCTGATTAATAAATGGTGAAATGCACTGATGAAAATCAGTGGAGGTGGTTGATATATAAATGCATGGCAAAGACTCATGATTGTCTGTCATGCTTTTAGTATAACAAAGTATTTACCAAAAAAAATCACTAGAAATAATTATAAAATATAAAACCTCACCCCAGGAGCATAGTAATTACAGTAATTAGAGTTTCTCAATTATTATCCAGAATTAGAAAACAGCCAGTGCTAATAGTGTTAATAAGCACACAAAAGACCCTTTTTTTGAAAGGAGGCAAGGTTGACTACGATAGAATGGATGTGACACAAACAGGGGAAAGAAGGTCAGCCACAGACTGTTAAATAGCACCTATGCCTGCACACACACCTTAGCGCTGCCGAAACAATCTCTCACTGCCATCTTACCTCTCAGGAGTGTTGTGCTTGTTGAATAGAGCTTATACTTTTACAGAGTATCAGTGAGAGTATAAGAAAACAATCATAATTTAAAACTATTGTTAATCTTTCCAGTCAGTGAAGCTTTCTAGTCGTCAAAACAGATTTCAACTTTCTAGACTTCCAAACAGAAATAACAAATTGGCGTTACTCCATTATGCATAGTAGCAGGCAAGGAGCCTTTAGGGAAAAAAAAATGGCTGTTGTTCTTCACAAAAGAGAAGGATGGACTCTTTGCGATCATTTAATAAAGATGTCCCCAGATTAGCAATGTTAGCATCATCAAACAGGACATCAACCTACAAGCATTCAGCAGCGTCCCATATCACTCAAAACAGACATAATTTCAGCTCTCAGTGTTTTGATGCATTCTCATTTCCAGTAAAAGCTGTGTTTCGAAGAATGTGAATCAACAGAGATTAGTATCTTAATGCTCCCTAATCCAATTGAGATAATTCACTTTGAGAAATAAATAAAAGAGGGTTAAGGATACACGAATGCATCGACTCCCTTGTTGGGCTAGCTCCTGAAGTGCTGCCAAGGTGTAGTATGCAAGTACAAGTGCAATTAGCAAAAGACTTCGAGTTCTTTGAAATGTCAAGGCCAGCGAAATGGCTTCATCACTGCAAGTCTCCTCACCTCAGCAGTCTTGTGAAATTAATCTCTCGGTCTCTCTGCGAAGGAAAAAGTATCCTAGAGACACCAACACAACTACCTTGCCTCTGCCCGGTAGAGTAACATGTAGAGCTTTCTAACCTAACATCGT